GCTTGTATGAGATGCAACCGTATCATGACTATGTAAAATTAACAATATTTATGGACTTGTGGCAACATAACTGAAGTAAAGCACAAATAATATATCTTTAACACTTTGGAGAAACTTGCACATTTTCTATCCAGTTAGTGGGTCATCTTTAGGCATAAAAGGGCACAGGATGAATGCTAGTAAACTGAAGTCAGTAATTTTATTCTTAAATATTTCCATTTAATCACAAGCTGTTGAGCTGTTGAGTTATCATATATATTAATATATTATTCAAAATTATAATAATTGCCATATTCTATAAATCAAATTCTAATCTAAACATATTAAATAAACATTCATATCTAAATAATTGTAATGATAGTTTGCAATTATCTTAAACTATTTTATGCTAATGAACATGCACAGTTTAATAATCAAGTACACAGTACAAGTTAATAGTTCAGAAACAAGCTTATCATTCTAGTAATTGACATTAATCTTGTCAAAAGATTACAAAAGAATAAATTGATGATTAAGAAAAAACATTTCAATTTTGAAATGAATTAAATTATTCTGTATATATTAACTATATAAAACAGTTCTGTCATCTTTTTAATTATTAATCTATTCCTAACAGACAAAGATAAAAGACCCTGAATATATTCCATCTTTTACATATTCAGTATTTGTTGATAAAACTAAATATTGTGAATACACTTATTACAATCAGTAATAGAAAAAAAATTAAGAATTTTGTTTAATGAAATAATGTTTATGAATAAATTAATTTCTCAGATCAATTTCCTGTGTCAGATTAAACACAAACCAGTTTCATTTTCTTTAACAATGCTGTGGATTTGCAAATAAGTCATCCCTTTTTATAATTTAAACACAAAAAATTTCCCTCTTAAAAATATACAACAAAACAAAATATTTCATACAAAAGTTTTTCACATCAATTTTAGTAATTTTAAAAACTGAATTTAAAAATTTTCAACAAATTTAAGTATTTATGATATTTGCAAATAAAATTAAAGACTTTTTGGTAACATTTTCAGAATTCTATTTTTAAAAAGTTCTTATAAAATTCAAATGATATTAATGAATAGGAATACACAAAACAAGAAAAATATGAACACAATTTAGCATTTACTTGTAATGTTTAAACAGACAAAAAATTTGTAGTTTGTTATTGATAAAAAAACTTATAAGAATGGAAAATTCCATGATTTTGAATTGAACTGAATTTATAATAAATAAGAGTGATTTAGTTTAAAGTTTACAAATTTCATTAAGCATTTCAAACTTGTTTTCATTATTCAAAAATAACATTTGAAAACTTGTGCTTTATTTATTTTACTCAGTCTAAACTAGAAATACTTGTCTTACAGTATAACTATAAGAAATAAAAGTAAAAATCTGTATGAAACTAGCAACACTTTTTTAATAGTACATTAGGAAATATTTAAAATTAACCTTCAAATATTTTAAGTTTTTTAAACAAGCAACTTCAGTAACAACTACAAAAATTCAAAATATAATTTGATTTGGGTTAAAAATAAATATAATAAAATAAAATAAATTATATATAATATAATAATTAATAAATTTTTTCGCTTTTACATAAGCAGCAGAATATATAACTTAGGAGAATAACTTATAACAATAACAATGAAATAAATTATATAACAAGTATATAATTTATTTCACAAATCAAAGCCAGAAGCTATAAATTACCCGAATGGTGCTCTGGAATATTTAAAGATTGTATATGGTAGCAACCTGAAAGATGCTTCTATTCTATTAAATTTATATAACCTGTACTTTTTACAAACTAATAGATTCATTCTTGCTACTGTGCATCACAGCAACCAACCAAACTCTCATGAAACATCCTGTAATCATATTTTAAATTATTTAGAGATTACTAAATTAGGAATATTTGTTTTATCTATAATGTTTCTAGAATAAAAATTACTGTAAGGAAAAATTGCAATGAGTAAAGTCTGAATTATCCAGATGAAAAGTTAAATTTTAAATTAAAATATCTAAAAAATTATATTCTATTATAATAATTTTCTGGCAATGTATTAGAATTCTAGAACAGAACAAAAATCATATAAAATATAATTTATATATTTTAATTTATTCTAATATCATTTCTGTTGTATGTGTCCTTTTCTTAAATTTTATGTATATTTTATATCATTCTCATCTGTTAAACAAATTGTTCTAAGCCAAGGATGGTCAGATATTTGGCTGAAAACATCTTTAATGAAAATGATGCTATCTGAACTAAGCAGTTGGTTTATTTTTATTTATTCATTAATATCAGCTCCTTACTTGTTTTAAAAAGTTAATTTATTATTTGCCATTGTTAATATACTTTAATTTTTTTTAATAAACTGAACTCTGAAAAAAGCTACGTTTACATAATTACTTTCACATCATATTGATTGACAAGTGTGACCTTGCAGTAATCCAATATGAACTGCTTGTATGAGATGCAACCGTATCATGACTATGTAAAATTAACAATATTTATGGACTTGTGGCAACATAACTGAAGTAAAGCACAAATAATATATCTTTAACACTTTGGAGAAACTTGCACATTTTCTATCCAGTTAGTGGGTCATCTTTAGGCATAAAAGGGCACAGGATGAATGCTAGTAAACTGAAGTCAGTAATTTTATTCTTAAATATTTCCATTTAATCACAAACTGTTGAGCTGTTGAGTTATCATATATATTAATATATTATTCAAAATTATAATAATTGCCATATTCTATAAATCAAATTCTAATCTAAACATATTAAATAAACATTCATATCTAAATAATTGTAATGATAGTTTGCAATTATCTTAAACTATTTTATGCTAATGAACATGCACAGTTTAATAATCAAGTACACAGTACAAGTTAATAGTTCAGAAACAAGCTTATCATTCTAGTAATTGACATTAATCTTGTCAAAAGATTACAAAAGAATAAATTGATGATTAAGAAAAAACATTTCAATTTTGAAATGAATTAAATTATTCTGTATATATTAACTATATAAAACAGTTCTGTCATCTTTTTAATTATTAATCTATTCCTAACAGACATAGCTCTAAATTTTTAACTTTCATTAGGTCTTTTTTTAAGTATTTTACAATAACGATTAACTAATAAAGGAATTTGAATACACTATTAAATCATAACACAAAAAGAATTTTAATATACAAATCTAAAAAATTATATATATATATCTGGGATTATTTAAAGAAAGTTAATCAAAGGTCAAAGTGGCCTATATATTTAATTATAATCACAATTACAACAAATATAAAGTATTAACAAACAAAATCATTGACCAATTGAAGATTAGTCTGTGTTATAACAATGGAAATAATGCCAACTTGTCTCAACAAATTGAAAAATAATTTTTAAAAATTAATTACATTTAATTGTTGGATTTTCCTTTTTTGAAAATATTGATATGCATATAAATAGTCAAATTCAAAATGCATACCTTAAAACTGATATTCTACATTCTATATACAGATATAGAATTTAAACATTTAAAAGCACAATGAAAATAAAGAAAGATTATCCCAATCAGAATTGATTTTAAAAAGTCTATATAGATTTTTTTACAAATCACCATGATTTTTTTTATATAAATAATAAAGCATAATGTTATAGATAATGAAATCTGTAGAATATTGTAATTTTTACATTATAATTATCATATATTGATAACTATCAATGCTAAATAATTTATTAAGTAATAAGAATGCATTCTTTGAATTGTAGATTTAAAGAATGTAATGGATATTTTAAATTGACTTCAAATCTCACATTTTAAAACTTTTAGATTTGATCATTTAAAACAAATGAGAGAAAAATTTAAATAGGAAAGTAATTACTAAATCAATAGGAAAAATATGACTCATGGAAATGAGTGCATTTAATCTATTTGAAGACAGTTTCAATTTATAAAATATAATCATTTTTATCAGATTTAGACTCAATTGAAATCAACTTTATATAAATACAATAACTGTCTTTAAATACATCTTTATACTATTTAAAATTATTTATATTCTGACATTTTAAATCAATCAGCAACCACATTCTTAATATAAAAATTATATCATTAATATTCAAATTAAATACTGAAACAAATCAATCTTATAAAATATATTTCAAGCATTTGCTTATCATTAGTAAAATAAAATCTGGCTAACAACAAAATTATTATTATTATTATTATTTTAATGTATTTAACTAACAAATAGAAAGTTCAGTGTAATCTGATCTTTTTATAGTTTCACAAATCCAATTTTATTATCAATGAAACCACACGAGCCAATAAATTCAAGATTCTATATTCGGGAGTTAAAGCATAAGTAGCTAATTCAAAGCATGTCGACTTTCCAGTTACGGTACAATCACGAAATAATAAACGAAATAATAAAATACCGATAATAATAATAAAATTTTAAACTTTCACAACCGTAGTTTGAACCTTAAGAATATAAGATAAAAATATTTTAAGTACGTAAACTTAATTTTAATTAACAGGTTTAAAATTGATTATATTTTTAAACTTTTTACTCTATTTTTAACAGTTACATTATATAACAGAATGTGTATGTGTTTATCAGTGTTTCACCCCTTTACTAATTAAATAAAGGAAAATAAATAAATAAATGAATTCCACATTAATATACTGCCAATAACAGCATCTTTACCTAAATCTTCAACAGCACAGCTTGGGATATTATTATTTTTAAATAAAAACCACATGATATTATAATTATAATTAGATGTAGACTAAATTTATTAATCTTTGTTAAGATATGTTAACAAAGATTACATCAAACACGAGCCATTTATATCGACTTACGTGAGAAAAGAATCATAAGTTTGGCATTTGGTTTTGTACGAGTCAAGCGATTTAACATTCCATGTAAAACATGATTACGAGCGGAAGTCAAAAACATCTTGCAAGTGTCAAAAGAAACTTACTTTGTGTGACGTAGTACAATGCTAAACGCTACAAACATCCCATTATTAATTGTCCGATTGGTCAATTCATATTTGGTTTCTCACACGTAACTTAAATCTCGTTTTTCCTTTCATCGATACTCGTGTAGAAATTTGTAACAATTTCACACCAAGAGCAACACACGACCATCTTCTTCGTCCATAATCATCGATATTGTAGACACTTATTATTCAATTTCTTTTTTCTTTTTTTTTTTTTTCTTTTTTTCTTTTCTACGTTCGTTTATTGATTAAAATTCAAATTGATCTACCTGAAATTTAAAATAACTAACGAAAAAATTTTTAATAATAACTTTTTTTAAATATCGATAGCGTGTATTTAGTACAACAACGTTGCCAGAAGTCCCGATTTTCCGGGATCGTCCTTCTTTTTTTAGTCATTGTCCCGCCAATAGAAAATCTTTTATTTATTTTATAATTTTTTTTTTATTTGTTAAAATAACTCACGTGTTTTTGGTCGGAAACGTTGGCATTTTTTATTTTAATTTTAAGTTAGTGTAATTAAACTAAAATCAGTGTCATTTATGTTAAAAAATATATATATTTTTTTAATAAATCGCGTGCATTGTGATCATAAGGTTTTAAAAAACGCATTATTTCTTTATAATGTAATTTACTAATTTTCACAAAATAAACAAGGAGTCGCAAATTGGTGGCTAGCATCCTGTTAAGGCTTTGTATCCGGCCAAGCGACCTTGATTTCTTTTCTAAAACTCAATCTTGCTGCGATTAAAACACAAAATTCAAAATTCTTTTTACGTAAAGGGGCTTTGTTAGAGCCTGTTTTTAATTTAAAGTGTTTTGGTTTACCGAATAATAATGAATATCCTGTCTGATATATATCTATTTGACTGGCTCTTTGCTGCGTTTGAGTTTCAGATCCCTGACATAGACACAGAATAACAATACAATAGACTAAAGAGGAACCGAACTAGTATAAAATAAATACAAATTATGAATATTTCTTCCAAAATAAGTTGGCACTTGTCAAACCAGACTAAACCACTTTTAAGCCAGTCGTAAGGAAGATTGCTTTACTAGCTGTAAGAAATTAATTGTTTATTGCAACTCTGGGGGCAATGGGTACTATTTATCCCCTTTGAATGGTTTAAAGGTGATTTAGTCTGGTTTGACAATTGCCAACTTTTTGTTGGAATGTCTATACGATATATAGTTTTATTAGAATAGTAGTATTTTTCTGTTTGATTGACAGATTCAGCCACGATCTCCCCAATAAGGACTTTAACATCTCTCAAAGCAAGACTGTTCAGACATGGCATTTCTAATATACTGTGATGTTTCGTTTGAGGGCAATATATTATTGCAGACAGGAAACATATAAAACGAGTAAAAATACAAAATTTTTTTTATTCATCAAACACAGGTTCTTTAAAATGATTCCAACTTACAGACTATTGGGTTCGTATACATACAATAATCTTCTACACAAACAAACCTCTATTGTGGCAACAGACACACGACTTATAGCTAAACTTAACCTACTTACAAACTAAGGAAGGAGAAATAAAATATAGATAGGGATAGTAGTAGAATAAAGGAGAAAATACTCGGGAGTTTTCTGCCACGTGGTCTCGGATGATTCACCGTCTTGAAATTCTTAATGACTGCAGGCCTTTGTTTCTTTCCTATGAACGTCTACGTTTTCTGAAGTTGTCTTGTGGTCTTCCCGCTTGCCGTTACTTGAACATGGGGAAACTCTATTTTTTTGCAACTGTCCTACGTTCCTCTATAATTCAGCCGTCTTACAAGGTTCCGATACCTCTGATCTCTCACTAAGCGATCAGGGTATGATCCTCCTTCGGTTTTCTATCGCAAGGTTTCTTACTTCTTGCTCGACCCCTCGGTCAGCACCACACTCGTTTTCGTCCTCTCTCGACGAAATCGCAGCCGCTTCTCTTTTTCTTTCACCTCGCCTCCTCTCCAGGGGTTATATCGCTTCTTTTGTCTTCTTGACATTGTTTCACAGAATCGGTGATGTCACCCGAGGGAATAGGGATTAAGGGAGAAAGTTCTAGAACAGTTAATACAAAAGAACAGAGGAGATACTAAGCCTAACTAAAATTAACAAAAATATATATAAAACTATGGCCGACGGCCACAATACAGTATATTTTTAGCCGGCTTAAGTTGGAGAATGATCTGTTTGCTGCGTGTTATAACAGGGAAAACGGTTTAAATTTATAAAAGTTTCTTCATACAGAGATTTCACTATGTCTGTAAACTTATTCTTTTAAATAACCTTCCATGACCTTACATTTATATTCTACTAGCAGATGAACTTGGTGTTGCTTGAGCAAAAATTAAAGATAACAAAGATTAACCCATCTTGATTATATTATAAGATTAGGGTCAAATTTATAAGAAATTTCATTTTTACTATTCTATTGATATTTATTGGATTTCTAATTAAAAAAAAATGATTAAAATTATTATTGAATTTTAACTGAATAAATCTTTAGTATTTAAAAAGATTTTTTATTTAAGTAACCAGGGCTGTAGAGTTGGAGTCGGAGTCGTCAAAAAATACGCCGACTCGGACTCCTTTTTACTTCCCAATTTGTTATGTATATAAAACGGAAAAGTATTGGAATCGTATCAAATTTGACCCTCCAAGTTTTTTTTTTTTTTTTTTTTTTTTTTTTTTTTTTTTTTTTTTTTTTTTTTTTTTTTTTTTTTTTTTTTTTTTTTTTTTTTTTTTTTTTTTTTTTTTTTTTTTTTTTTTTTTTTTTTTTTTTTTTTTTTTTTTTTTTTTTTTTTTTTNACTCCAACTCCTTTTTACTTACCAACTTGTTATGTATATAAAACGGAAAAGTATTGGAATCGTGTCAAATTTGACACTCCAAGTTATTTTTTTTCTTTTTTTTGCAAATCTATACGTTTGGAGACCTCCCGAATCTCCCAAAAAAGGCAATAAAAGGAAAAAAATTCGCGCGCGTGTGTGTTGGCGTCTAATTTGTTTAATTTCTTTATTTTCTGTTTTGAATTATTAAACAATATCTCAGAATGGGTAAAGTTTAAGAAACGAAATTTGGCACTGTAACTTGCTTATAAAGGGGCATTAATGCTATTAAATTTTGGTTCTTAATTAAAGGTCGACAGGGTGAAGACATAAAAGGGACATGTGTCATATCTCTTAATGAATATTTTACTCGTTATTAGCGTTCAAAATTAAAAAAAATAAAAAATAAAACTCGTCTGTCTCTATCCTCAAAGTAAGCTTTTTGTCATTTTATAATAGTACAGTAAAACCCCTTAAGATGTTCTCGCCTAATATGTTAGAATGTGTATGGAGACACGATTTAGTTCAACCACTTTGACGATGTCGCAAAAAAACAAGTGTACAACAGCATTATCCAAAATGGCGCAAGCAGATGGTTCGGTTGTTAAATGGGAGGATGCCAAAATTCTTAAAAAAGTACGCTCGCCAACGTTGTCATCCATAACTGAGAAATGCGAAATTTACAGAGCGAGTTTGGCTGACAGATGTTTAAATTATAAAGATGCGACGGTATTACCGTCATCCTGGAAATACATAATAAGAAGTAACACGCGTAATAATGCGTCTGCCGTGACTCAATAGATATCTGGGTTGATGTATAAGGAATTGTTNTAATGCTCGGCCATCCGGCATTAGTAGGTTTATATCATAGAAGGATAAGTGTCTGAGCATTTGGGGTAATTTCCGTTAAAATAAAATGTTTAAATTCTGTGCTATTGCTTTTGGCTGGTTATTTATTAATCCACTTCTATAACTTGACTATTCTTGGGTTTGAAAAATAGAAAAATTGAAGAATTTAAGAAATTCTGGTGCGATTAAAAATTTTTAATGAATATTTTTATCCGCGTTTTGCATAAAAAATTAATTTTAATTGTTTTGAGAAAACTAATGCAGTGGAACTTTAAAATTCTTTTTCTGTTTGATGGGTTAAGGAATGCAAAACACGTTATTGTTAAACGTTGGGCTTTTGTAGAATTAATTTCAGATAATTCTGGAAAATTATCATGGATATTGGCAGTATCATGGTTACTATCTTTATAAACAAACGATCTAAAGCGGAATCAACAATCGTATATTACAAAAAATTCAAAAAATAAAAAATAAAACTAAAATAACAACACTGGAGACGGCTAGACGTTTGGGTCTCAGATTCGAACGAAACTTGATCAGAAAGCAACCCTAAACACAAAAAAGTTTTTTATTCAAATAATAGAACTCACTTCTCAAGCGTTTCCGAAAAACAGGCATCTAAAATTGAGTGTTTAGCTTACCACCGTATATATTTTTAAATATATATACGTATATATTGATATATTAGAAAATGTGCAGTAGTCATAGAGTTATCTAGCAGCAAAATTTAGTAATATTTGTCTTTGAATTTGCTGATAATAAAAAAGACCTACTAACTCATTGTTCCGAAGAAAAACCTGTTTGCACACAGTGATTTGCAAAAATGAAATACATAAATCGTACTAAAGTGATTTTTGACGTAAATACGTCTTTAATAAATACGGCTGCATATTGAAAGGTTTTCTTGAGTGTGTTTAGTTAGTAAGAAATTGTAGACTACGAACTGTTGCATTTGTAGAGTAATTTATTTAAAATTAAAATTTATTGAAAAAACTTTTTTATTTTTTGTTTAGTAATGACATTTCACATGTACAGAAACACAAGATTGAATCGTAATTTACACATTGCTACTATTCTGTTTCTTTTATTTCAATATATATCCGGTCTAAACACCTGAATTTTCTAGGAATTATCAGATCTACAGACGCTGTAATTACTAGCCAATCAAGAACTTTTTATTTTACCCAGAATGCATTTCAGGAATTTTAATATTTCTTTCCTCTGTGTGTTTTCTTCCATGCTAACTTAACAAGGNATACATATAATACGCTCAAAGAAAATATTACCCGTTAACGTACACGTATTCACGTAAAACACACGGCCGTGTCCCGACACAGCCACACCCCACTTTTTTTCATATGGTCTTCAAGGTCTGCTAACACTAACGAATTAAGAGAAATACAGCAGTGTGAAGAAAGGACATAAGGAATGGGAAAAATGGGGGAAGAGAATGTCATGCCACTAATATATGTATATATTGCCGTGACATTGCCAACATTTGAAGGGCCCCTGCATCTAGCCACCCCATTATGGGCCTGGCCGAGTCGGCGACGGGCCCGATAAAAGGATCCTCTTAGACCCAAAGGACAGAAAAAGTAAAAAAAAAAAAAATCTCCAATATCAAAAATTAAAAATTTGTTACACGCAAATAATTATTTTGAAACAAATATAAAGAACATATGAAGAAAAAGATCATATAAATTTATAAAATTATTATTATCGTTCGCATAAATGTTAAAATAATTACAAATATATAAAAAGTTCATTTATTAATGCAAATTGGATTTAAATAAAATATTGATACTTATTTAGATATATTTATTATTCTATAAGAAGTCTGATTTTAATAACTAATTTTAATAATTTGTTTTAAAATATATTTCAATGTATAATAGAATAAACTAATAATCCATTATGAATATGGAAGGAAATGGAAAACGCGTGTAACTTGATATAGAAAGTAAGAGGGCGCTGAATGTTTTCCGTATTGTACAGCTTCATTTCCGGAAAGAAATATAGTGGAGGATGAACAATGTCTTTTAAGAATAGTTAAGTAAATGAATGGTTTATTTGTATTGAGATTTATAATAATAATAAAATTAATAGTGTACATATTATCTATTTAAAGATATATATACAAATTTCACGTTATTGTTATTTTTATCTACATAATGTCATTTGTTGGTGGGTGTGGTTAACTAATTGGAGTAAAATTCATTCAGGGAGAGAAAAATGGACTCAAATGTGTCCATTTTCTTAAAGTTTCTTACATTTGTCTTTACTTAATTTTATTATACAGAAGTCTTCCTGTTAAGGATTTTTATGAAGTCACTGAAAATGGATGTAATAATTTATTTTCCTCCTTGATACTTTTTTGTCTATAGGAAATTTTCAAATGAATAATTCCTGTATAAAATTTATTCCTACTTATTTTTTTTTCCTTCCTTAGTTTGGATATTTGGTTTAAAAAATTCATATTTTACTAATTATTAACATAGTATCAATTGAATAGAGTATTTTCTTAAATGCAGTTGAACAGCTAGTTTCAAAAGGTTTATTTTAAAAAGTATTTCAATGTTGTCAATGTCATTGATGTTTCAAGTGGCATAATGCAATGATATCCATTGTTAAAACTTGTGTATTAAATTTCTTGAGAAATGGGAAGTTTTGTTGAATATTGTAACTTTATCACAAAAGCAACATTTTAAGTTTTATCTTATCATTGTTTTGAAATATGTTATATGGATGTTAACATAGAAAACTTGAATTGAATGAATTTTCAAAAAGCATTATTAAATTAATAATTTTAATAAAATTATATTTATCAGTGCATGTAATTCTTGTTTATGGTGATTACTAAATATTAATGATCTGTAATGTGTGTGACAATATTATATTAAGTGTTTATTATACTAATAGTGAGAAACATTTGATTAGTATATAACATTCTCACATCTGATTAAGTTTTGCAGCTGGAAAAAACCTAAAAATAAGTTACTCTATTGTAGATTGTAATTGAGTGAATTAAATAATAAATTACCCAAATGTATTAAATTAGCTATTCCATTGATGATATATATTTAATGCTTCTGGCTATATTGAATGTGACTAATGAAGTTTTTGAATTTATAGAATGAAGTATTGTATTTCAGTTTGTTTTAATAGTCTTGATATTTTTGAAGGTGTGTTTTTAGCCTTTTAAAAATACTTGAATTATTGTTTATATTTTGGTTATAATTTGACTTGTGCTTTTGATTAAAGCATAATGTGTTTGGGGTAATATCATTTCACATCAAATACTTTTGATAAAGCATTTAATGTGAAATAATTTGGTATAATTAATCTCAAGAATTTAAAAAATTTTTAATTTTAAAATTGGAAATTTCAAACAAGTTTTAATTCATGAAACTATTTTTACTTGTATTTTAACAACAAGAATCATTTCCAGAAATTCAGATTTTAGAAATTAACTATATTATTAATACAGTTAATTTCTTATATTTTTTCAATACTTCCAAATTATATATTTGAAATATTCAAATATTGAATATTTCAAAATATCAATATTCATCTATTGAATATAATTTTTTTTATTTTATTTTTTTTATTTTTTTAATCCAGCAATTAAATCTTAATAATTAGAAATTACTTTTAACTCAACATAAACAAAAAATATTTTAATTTTTTTACTTTTGACTTCTAACATCCAAAAGTTCATTAACATCTTTAGTTTTACATTCTTTCTGACTTTTCAAATAATATCAGAAAGGAAAACAAATAGAATTTTGAAAATAGTAATATTTATTTATTTAATTCTAAGCATAACTACATTTTAACTTTTTGCAATAATTTAAGTTAAAAAGTATGAAATTCTAAAGATATTGTTTGAAATTATAGTGAAAATTTATAGAAACAAATTTAGAAATTAAGATTTGAATAATTTTTATGGAAATTAAGTGATTATTTGAATTTAGTATTACAGATAATATTAGTTTCTATTAACAATTTCAATAATAAAATATACTGATCAACAAGACTTTCAACTGAGGTTAATTTAAACATTCCAAAAATGATATGTTAACTTTTAGCATTTAAAAAGACACAGATAATATTAATACTTTAGAACTGTTTACAGTTTGAAATATTTTTGTAGCATTTGTTATGATGAAATGTTAGTAATTTTGGAAAATACTTTAAAATCTTGCTAATATTTTTAAAATTCACTAAAGAAAATTTTATTGATATATGTTACTAAGAATAATCATAAAGTAAACATTTACACAACTAAAAATCCAGCTCATGAAACACAAAATTGAAGAAAAATGAACTTTTTCAATTTCTTTTAGCAATCATCTTCAAGTTAAAGAACTTTTTTTGGAAATATATATCAGAATAGAACATATATTTGAAATTTTTGGTTGTGTAAGTGTTTTGAATATTATCCAATATTTAGTGCATTTATTATTTAATAATCATAAACTTGTTAGTTTATAAAAGCAATATGAATAAAGAAAGTTAAAAAAATAATTTGAAATAAAGCTTAGAATAAATTTGAATTTTTAACTCTTACTAAATGTACACTAACAATAATGCTATTGAACAGACTGTCAAATTTTTAAAAACTTGTCTACATTTATCTAAATTAGTATAGAAAAATTGGATATTTGTGTACTTATAAGTCTTATTTTTTTAGCATAAGTAATAGTTGAAAAGAATATTAAAATTTCAAGTAATTAATGTATGCTAAATTTTATAAGAATAATCTCTGCATATTTATATAATTATTAAAATTGCATTTTAGTGATTATTTGCTACCAAGAAGCAATACTACTGTTATAGATGTTAGTTAGACAGTACTGGTTTATAACTAGTCTAAATAAATATATATATTATTTAAACTGAGTGAGTTGTCAATGATATGACATCAGAAATTACATTTATAAACAACTGTAATGGCACGACGTCAATCTTGAAAGTGTTTTTGTTGTTATTTCAACATAAGCAAATCAATTTTTGTGGCATTTAAATCAACTACAGTTCGTCTAAGGAAAGAATCAACTTTGGTCTTAACCAATGAGCATCAGTCATTGATTGCTTAGTTGTGGTAAGTTCCAGTTTTTCTCATTTGTTAAACATGTCAGCACCATTATAAACAATGTTATGGAAGCTTCATGTTCTGGTATTGTAATACGAGAAATTTTGCTATAGTAGTTGTTAAATGCATGATTCTTTTCAGTTTATGCATGCTGTAAAAAAATTAACACAATTAACAGAAAAGTCATTCTGCCATCTAGGGAGAAAATAAAATATAATTCGTGTATTGCCTGACATATTAAGTGTAAACTGTTGACATCATTTGAGAATGTGCTGACTGGTTTAACTGAAGTGATATCATATGTGACACTGCTCTCAAGTTGATTTCTTTCTTTCCATAAACAGATTTTAATTGGCAATAAAAATTTTTGATTTCTGGACAATTCCCACATATTTTTAATTATTTAAAAAACAATAATCTCTATTTTGAGGCACAAAGAATGCAGTTAATGTAATTTCTGACAGATAACCCAAGACAGTGATACCCCATATAAAATTGCAAGAATTAAAATAAATTCTTTGTATAACCCCAGGAGATGCAAGATATATGGAAAGATATAACCTATCCTATCATATACCTTTACATCTCCTGGATGATCATTGAAAACAAGATAATTACTGATTATACCCTAATAATAAATAGATGACTGCATATAAAGCAACAAATACACTCATGTTTTAAGCAGCAAAATAATGAGGATTGCTTTTAGCCTTATTAAAAGATCATTTTCAAGTTAGTTCTGTCAAACATTACAAATTCAACAGTTAAGAATGTAAGACAGAGAATTTAATTAGAGAATGCAGAACATTTCATAAAAAATTTTTTTATGCTTATTAATTCATTTTTATTTCAATTTGTAATGTTCAATAGAACTTATTAACCGAAGATGCTTTTAATAAGATCAAATATGTTTATTATTAAATACTGTTTTGCTGCTTAAAAGATTGAGGATATTTGTTATTGATGATTCAGTTTAGTAATTGCCATCTCAAGTATTAAAATACTTCTTTTTCATTTGTTAACAACTCATTGTAGATAACTAAACATACTCAAACCCAAGTATTTTATAATAATAATATTTCTGGATTATCCAGGCTAATTAATAATAATCAGAAAAAATTATTGTATATTAAACTGGCCAAAATATCTAGACTTTGTGGCAGTTAGACTGCAGGTCTAGTACATTTTGGCACATCTGTTTTGGTGCAAGAAAAACTCTATTAATTCACCATTTCCATTTGACATTAATGTTATTTTAACAGTGATGTGTAACAAGAAGTCATTCTGCCACATTTATGGTCCTATCCTATCCTTCTGTTTAGTTGTGTCTGACTCAGTCACTCTATGGATCAAAGCTCTTCATTCCTCTCTATCCTGCACAGCCTCCTTCAATTCCATTATAGATAATTCGGTGTCACTTTTGATTGAGTTGAGCCATCGAATCCTTGGTCAGCCTCATGCTCTTTTCCTGCTAACCATCCCCAGCATAATCGCCTTCTCAAGGGAGCTGGTTCTCATTATATGATCAGAAAAGGACAATTTGTTTGGTTATCTGGTCTTCCAGTGAGATTTTCTAAGACAATTTCTAAGACTCTGTCTAAGACAATTTTGTTGGTGATATGTACTGTCCATGGAATGTGCAAAAGCCATCTCCAACACCACAGTTTGAAAACATTATCTTCCTTCTGTTCGCTTTCTTTAGATTCCAAGTTTCACAGCCATATATGATCATATGAAAAATTGCACTAACTAATTTGCATTTAATTTGGAGGCAGCTGTCTTTGCTCTTCTGAAAGCTGTTCGTGCTGATCAACGAGGTTTGTCCAATGGCTATCCATCTTCTGATTTCAGGACAGCAATTGCCATTATGGTTGATTTTGGACCCAAGGAATATGAAATTTTCCACTACTTCTTCATTGTTGATCACTATTTTGACTTCTGTATTCTGTGTAG